CAAATCTAAAGAGTGAATCACCCTAAAAAGAAAATTGAAGCTCACACCTTTAATCCCAACATTAGGGAGGTAGATAAGACAGAAGCGAGGTTCAGAGAGGCTTTTTCCATTCTCCAGCCACACTGAAGAGAGGCAGCAGTTTGAGACTTGCTGAAAAGCTCATGCTTGGATCAGCCCTTTCAGCCTGAGATAGAAGTAAGAGCTAGTAGCCAACCCTTTGCTTTTCTGATCTTCATCTTGAAGTTTGAGCCCCAATATCAGTCTCTCAGTCATTTATGTTTTGTGTTACAAGGAAGGATTATTTTGAAGGCAGTTTAACAGCATTAGGATGTGTTATATAAAATCTCTTGTATCCAAATAGCTAGTACTGGCTTATTAGTACATTTTTTCCTCATACCACTTTACTTTGTATATAGATATGGAATTCTGCACCTTAAATAATTGACAACCCACTCCCTTTAGCTCTAACCTTGCTTTTTGGATAGAATTCATTCACATCTGAGCAAATGATAATGAGTCTGCTACAAACAGCATCTAGTAGGAATGTTGAAAAATAAAATTCCTGCAGTCTGTGTGCTTAAGTAGTATAAACTATAAACTTTGTGTTTAGCAGCACAGTGACTACTGGAAACACAGTATAATGCCTTCAGATGAAGTTTGTTAGATTGTGTGTAATAAAGTATTCACCTAAATGCATTGCTTATTGTCTCTGTGTAACATGTAATTCAGTGCACACCCTATCTTTGCTGTCCAAGTCTCTAGTGCACGCTACAGATTTCATCCCTGTGGCAGCGTGATGTCTTCCCTTCCTTTGTCTTTCTCTATTTCTGAAGCAAAACAGATACTGCATTTTAAGCAGAGTTGATAGTAAGTTTAAAAATTGCTTTTCTTCCAAAATTCTTTGCCTAAGGTTTTCAGTTGAATTATCTTTTCTGCGTTCAGTGTCATCATTCTTGACTCCAGCCGGGAGAATCTCATGGTAAAAAGACTGATTATCTTGAGTAAACATTTTCTTATCCCCACTTACTACCCACCACAGGCATCCCAGCAAAGCTCTAAGCAGACACTGCTTTTTCCTTTATGCCTGGAAAATCCATTCTCACGTGTCATGGTCAGCAGCAATACCTCACATGACCCATTTAACAATCACCTGGAAGCCACAGGAAGGCAGAAAGCCACTTCTGACAATGCACACAATACTTGGTGAAAGAATGTCTCTTGGCCATTTTAGCCTCCTCTATTGAGAATTCTCTATTTAGTTCTGTACTCCACCTTTTAATTGGATCCTTTGGTGTTTTGGAGACTTGCATCTTGAGTTCTTTGTAAATTTTGGAGATTAGCCCTCTATCAGATGTGAGGTTAGTGAATATCTTTTCCCATTCTATGGACTGCCTTTTTGTCTTGTTGACTGTGTCCTTTGCCTTACAGAAGCTTCTTAGTTTCAGGAGTTCCCATTTGTTAGTTCTTGATCTCAGTGTCTGTGCCATTGGTGTTATGTTCAGGAAGTGGTCTCCTGTACCAACTCGTTGAAGAGTATCTCCCACTTTGTCTTCTAAAAGTTTCAGTGTGGCTGGATTTATTTTGAGATCTTTGATCCATTTGGACTTAAGGTTTGTACAAGGCGATAAACATGGATCTATCTGCAGTCTTCTGAATGCCAGTACTCAGTTATGCCAGCACCATTTGGTGAAGATGCTTTCTTTTTTTCCATTGCATAGTCTTAGCTACTTTGTCAAAACTCAAGTGTGTGTGGGTTAAAATCAGGGCTTTCGATTCGGTTCCATTGGTCTACCTGCCTATTTTTGTGCCAATACCAAGTTGTTTTCAGGACTATAGCTCTATAATAGAGCTTGAAGTCAGGTATTGTGATGCCTCCTGAAGTTCCTTTACTGTATATGGTTGTTTTGGCTATCCTGGGTCTTTTGTTTTTCCATATAAAGTTGATTATTGTTCTTTCAATGTCTGTGAAGAATTGTGCCAGAATTTTGATAGGGATTGCATTGAATCTGTAGTCTGCTTTTGGCAAGATTGCCATTTTTATTATGTTGATCCTACCAATCCAAGAGCATGGGAGATCTTTCCATTTTCTGGTATCCTCTTTGATTTCTTTCTTTAAAGACTCAAAGTTCTTGATATACAGGCGTTTCACTTCCTTGGTTAACATTATCCCCAGATAATTGATGCCGTTTATGGCTATTGTAAAGGGTGATGTTTCTCTGATTTCTTTCTCAGTCACTTCATCATCTATATAATAGGGCCACTGATTTTTTTGAGTTTACCTTGTATCCTGCCACTTTGCTGAAGGTGTTTATCAGCTGTAGGAGTTCCCTTGTGGAGTTTTATACATGGATCAGGATAGTGCCAGTCTGCACTTCCAGTGACAGAGAGTCTGAGAAACAGGAAAGAACCTAAGAGAGATATGCATGGTACCCAAGAGAAGAGGAATGAGGCAAGATCCTCTGAACAGATGGGGAACATGGCGAGGGGTGGGGGTGAGTGGGAGCTGGAAAGAAGAGAGGGGGAGAAGAGGAAGAGAAAGTAGGTCATGGGGCAACAGGAAGGTTGAGTGGGGGGGTAGAATAAGGGGAAGAGGAAATCATAGGTTAGAAGACAGATCAGGCACCAGTGAGACCTCTAGTGATCTAAAGGGATGACACCAATTGGCAAGCTAAGCAATAGTGGAGAGACCACCTTGAATGCCCATTCCTGATAATGAACTGAATGTGAGAGTCAGTGAGGAGGCCTGGGCTACCTATGGGGTCCTGAGCAGTAGATCAGTGTTTATCCCTGGAATACAAACAGACATCATGTGTCCATAACACAAAGAGGGTTGCTCTCTCAGCCTGGACTCTTAGGGGAGTACCTGGACCCTACCCTGAGTGATATGACAGACTCTAGATATCCCCTATGTGGAAGGAATTGGCAATAGGGTGGGAGGCTGGGCAGGGGGATAGTGGGTGGGTGCAGGAGGAGGGGAGGGAGAGGGAACTGGGATTGACATGTAAAACAAGCTATTTAAAATTAAAATAATAAAAAATTAAAAAAGAATAACCATAGTGATTTTATAGGAATGTGCCATGTATGTTACATGGAGAAAAATGTATTATAAGGTAACTCAAGTCAGTTATCATTTATCTATATAATTTTGTTTTCCTATTAATATTTTGTATAGACTATAAATGAATTTAAATTATTGCTTTCTTACATTATTCTTTGTGTTGGATAAAAGGAAACATAATTCTCTTTTAAAGATGATCTATCCTATGGGACAGATACTCATCTGCCTGGATGTATAAACCTCTATTTTTCATTTTTATTCATTATCAAAATCTGTATGCTATTTAGACACTGCCAATTTGTTTCTAGACATCTAAAGGACTACAATTTGATACAAAGTGAGTGTCATTGGGAAGCCTGCTTGAGCCAGACGGTACAGAAGGGAGCCCTCAGCTGAGTGGCTTTTGTGCACAGTGAAGTGGGTTGGACACTCGTCACACATTCACTTGGTTTGGTCTTAGCTCTGCAGAGATAATAGGGAATTAGAGAAATGATTCCTTTTACCCTCTCCAGATCTAACCCTGTGTCATCTAAAAAAGTATTAACTTACATACGGCAAAATAGTGTCCAGTGGGAGGTTTTGAAAGAAACTTTGAAAGTGGGTGTATTTATTTAACCAGAAAACAAGTAAAAATGAAATAACAGATACAATGACCAAGGAAGTTTTGAGAAATATTATAACAAGACCTTTTTTGGAACCACTGTGCTGAGAGCCATGTCACTTGCCTACTGCTGGCATTTGGCACACCATGGGCAAAGAAAAAAATATGGTTTTATTTCTCTGCCCATTAAGTGAAAGATGACAGCTGTGTCCCTTGCCTCTGGGAAAGGTCTCCTTGAGAATTATGTGGACCTGCCCCTAACCCTTTGGTTTCTGAGTAGAATCTCTCCAGAACCAGAAGAAGATCACTGAGGTCTTGTCTATTATGACCTAGACTGGTCTCCCAGTTTCAAGGGGCTACCTCTCTTTCCACATGCAATACCTATAGAGGTAAGCCAGTGTTGCAAAAGTGTTGACATTTCCTTGAAGCAGACAACTAATTATCTGAAAATGTACATTTCCTTTGTTGTGCATTCCTCAGCTGTGGGAGGCTCCTATCATGGAAGTACCTTATGCAAAGTAAATGATGACTTGTAAAGGTCAGAGTTAAATGGATCTTTAAAAATGAGTTGAAAAAGTAACAGGAAAGGGTATTAAAGCAATTTTCAATATCACGAGAAATTCCACATTTGGGAATCTCTTCCTGTGTAAAACCTGAGTGTGTTTTATAAAGTGCGTCGATTGAGTAATTGAGTGGTTTGGAGAAGGGCAAACATGCTGTGAATGTTCTTCTCTTTCACCACATATGTCCTGGAGATGGAAATCAGATCCTCAAGCATGATGACAAGCACTTCCATCTGCCAAGCCATCTACTGAATAAAGCAAAGCAAACAAACAACAATAGCCCTGGTCTTCACAGGATTATTTTAAGCCTTCCCAGAAGACTCTTATTTTTAGAAATATGTCATTAAGTGTTTGGAAATGTGTTTGGATTGACTCGGTCACATGTTCATTCTGTTCAAATCCATTGAAAACTCTAAGCTTGTATGAGAGTTAAATGATGTTAAGATCTATAGAGGAGACAGGAGGAGAGAGGGGGGGAAGAGTGTTTGTAATTAGAACTTTTTAGTTGGGGTTTTTCTTTTTTTTTAACCAGTAGCCTTCTAGAGTATCTGTTTGTTTGAAAGAATAAATCCTGATGGCTTGAGTTGAGCTTATAGCTACGAGTTGTTGGCCTCCACTGTGCTGAAATCAGGAGTGCTGTGTTCAAAACAGTCCAGGTTTCCTCTTGTTTCGAGTTCCTTAGGTTTTTTTTTTTCCTCCGGCCCTTATAACTGTAGTTTTAAAGTTCATAAATGAGCGGACTCAGTCTGGTTGACTTACATGGAACTGTTTCTTTCAGATTTTTGCCCGAGTTCATCAGTGGGGACTTTGACTCCATTAGGCCTGAGGTCAGAGAGTACTACACTGAGAAGGTAAAGCCCACCCGCTTTTGTACTGAAGTTCTTGTTCACGCCATTGCTCTGTCTGACTGTCTAGGATGGGAGGTATGGATTGGAAAAGTCATGTTTTCTTATTTTCATGCTTTTTGCTGTAGAAATGTTAATATATATATTAAAATAGAAACTTTAAAAATGACAAATAGAAACATAGTATTAGAAATTCTATGCCATCATATATGCATCAATTAATACCTTAAGCATACATTTTTATATGTATTCAAGGTGGTTATAGTTTTCCAAGGAATGTTTAATAACTTATTGCCATTTATCCCCTCACTGATTATTACATGTTTTCATAGATATTGTAATCTTATTTAACAGACGGGTTATATTAATATCTTACTTAACCAGTTCCCAATTAATGAACTTAATCTCTTTTCTCTCAATGTGAATTCTACTAAAATGTCATTAGGAATGAGGTTTTTGTGAGTATGCATAATTATATACTCATAGGCTTTTGGAATCAAAGGTTTTTTTCTACAATATTTTGGGTTTTTTATTCTGAGTGAAACTACTATGAACTGAATAATAGCCACTGTTCTTTACTGTTGTGTAAATTTCCCTCAGAACCTTGACACTTACAAACCACATAAAAGATCTAACCGGGAGTGAAGGAATCACACAGTAGTGAGTTACAGTACTGATTAAATGTTCCACGAGTTTTAGAATTCAATACAGAATTTTACATTTCAATGTGTATTATTCTAAATGGGTGTAGTCAAATCATGCATATTTTCTTTTAAAGAGACTGCAGTGGCTGCTCAAAAAGTAAATTCCTTCTAAGACTGGGAGAGAAGTGAGATAATTTTTTTTTTTTTTTTGGTTTTACGAGACAGGGTTTCTCTGTTTTGGAGGCTGTTGGTCCAGCCTGGCCTCGAACTCACAGAGATCTGCCTGCCTCTGCCTCCCGAGTGCTGGGATTAAAGGCGTGCGCCACCACCGCCCTGCGAGAAGTGAGATAACTCTCACTTCACAGGAAACATTAGATGAATAGCTACCGGCAAGAATTGGTGAAATGGCTCAGTATTTAAGAGCACTGTCTGCCCTTCCGGAGGCACTAGTTCAATGCCCAGTACTCACGTGGCAGCTCACAACAATCTGAATCAGTCTCAGGGTGTCCTCACGGAAACATCCATTTGGACAAACATTCATATCTGTAAGTTAAAAATAGATAATATCTCCCCTGCTTGAAAAACCCTAAATAAATAAATATATAAATTCTCAAAAAGAAAATCTAAAGAGTAGAATCAGTCTTCTCTTGGGACAAGGAGCCTGATAGTAACATCTCCCCTCCCCCGTATATATGTGTGTGTGTGTGTGTGTGTGTGTGTGTGTGTGTGTGTGTGTGTGTGTGTGTGCATCTTTAAAGAAGAAGAGTAGTGGAACAGGGGAAGACAGACAGGAAGTGGGGGAGAGTGTGGGGGAGAAATTATGTAAAAGCAGTACTCATGTACAAAATCTCAAAATATGATAAGTGTTTTAGGAAAGAAAGGCAAAAAGGAAGACAAGGAAAGGGGAAGAAAGAGAAAGGACATTAGAAGTGGCATGAGTGAACCAACACTGTGGTGAATGAAATTCTGGAATGGGCTGGTATGCAGATTTGTGTGAGTCCCATCTGCCCACCAGCTGATGAGACCTTCCTTCCGCAAATGAAGACCGTTCCCGAGTCAGTGTTTGATATTCATGCTCAGTTGCTTCAGCATTGGCATGTTCCTGTCCATTCCCCCACAGCCTCACTTCTCATTAACTCCATACCTCAGCCTCGCTGGCAAGGAGCTCTGGCCTTGCTTACAATGCGGAGTTGTGCTAATGCACAGGTATTAATCATATTTTCAGGAGCAGAGCAAACAGGGAGAGGCAGTGACCAGCAAACTCAAAAACAAGCTGAGGCTATGGTCAGATCCGACTTATCTCCCTGTCTGTTAATGCTGACAGCTTGCCAACACGAGAAGTGTCAGTCTGATCATCACTGTCCAGGATGAGGAAATGAGCTTCTTAAAAAAACTTTGGGATGTTGTTAAGTCAAAGTTCAGCAATAAAGAGAATTTTTCAGTTAATACTCTTGATGGGTTTTCCCTATACTTCCTGTTTGCTTGTTTTCAAACATGAAAAGTCACCTATATTTTTTTAAGACTTAGTTTCCTAAGTTATGTTCAGCCATTTCTCCTCATTTCTAAGCAGAATAGGTCTAGGCTGCATAGTACAGCCCACGTTTGCCCTGTGTCCTGAGTGTTGAAGTCTCTGCTCTTCAAGTTACCAGGCATGCTCCTAGAGGGCACAGGTGATGCCCTTCATGCAGTTACCATGCCCCATAGAGTGTTCCGTGAGTGTTTGGCTGTGAGTTTAATAATGATGATAATTAACAAATCAATGCAACATTACACACAATTTCTATAAGCCATTATCACCAACCTCAACAGTGTTTAAGCTCTTTCACAAGTGAAAGGACATTACCTTCTCATTCACATCCATCTGGCCACCAGGCTGGTCTGAGGTTTCAGTGAGGTCAGACTTGGGCTCTAGTAAAGAAAATGAAGATGAACTTTAGAGTGCTAAAATATTGTTACAATCATAGAGTAATCAGAGCCAGCATTGAGCCATATGTTGTTGAGCTTGGCAAAGATATAATATACAAGCCTGTATTTACTCTGTATTTCACCTGTCTGCTATGCAACTCGAAAACCTCAGTGCTTTTTTTTCCTGTCTTAGTTCTTCCAGCTTGGGTCACTGGGTCACTTTTTCTTTTTTTTTTTTTTTTTTTTTATGAGACAGGGTTTCTCTGTATTGTTTTGGAGGCTGTTGGTCCAGCCCGGCCTCAAACTCACAGAGATCCACCTGCCTCTTCCTCCCGAGTGCTAGAATTAAAGGTGTGTGCCACCACTGCCTGGCTTGGGTCACTTTTTAATTCAATGAGCAATGTCTCTTAATAATCTCATTGTTTGTTTATTTTTAAATTATTGTTGTTGTTGTTTGCTTTCTCTTCTTTTTCCTTTTTCTTATTCACTTTTTGGGCAATTCTGAGCTTCTTTGACTCAGGGCAGCAAATCAATTTCTGAACTGATGATTTGAAATGACTCGCATGATGTGAAATCTACAAAATCTCAGTAAAATGTTAACAATAATGATTCCTTGTGTGTGACAACTTGAAGGATAATTAATTCTCGTGCTTTCTGTGAAAGAATTCTGTGGAAACTTGGAAGGAGTTGCTGCAGCTGCTTCTCAGCAACACCACCTTGGCTGTTTCTTGCAGAGGCCACTTAGCGTCTCTGGGCATGATTATCACACAGCATCATCAGCAGTGTGATGAGTGTTGTGTGGATTTTACTTTCACAGTTCCATCGTGTGCCCCCCCCCCCCCACCAACTCCTCAGTTCAGGAGCAGCAGTGTGGTTGTTCAAGTTAAGATACATAGGACTAGGATGGTAGAAGTTTATTTTATTCCGGGATAAATCACTTACCGATAACCCAGGATCAACGCCCTTCTGCTCTCCCTGAACCTTGAGCCAGCAAGCCGCTCCCTGACCCCAGACCAAATCCCACACACTCATGTACACACCTGTGACCATGCCCAAACGGGCTGGGTCAGCGCTGCTGGTGCATCTAATGGATCTCTCACTACACAGCAGGGCACAGAGTGTAAGGGCTGGGCCAGGATGGAAATGAATAAGAGTCTGATAAATTATTCAGTTACTGAAATAGGATGAAGCTAGCATGGATTATTGAAGAATTGGTACTAGAAACTTAGCAAGGACATTGGTGACCAAACATATCTTCCTTTATGTTATAACAAGTTTGAATTTTTCTGAAAGTTCTGAAAAACACCAGATCATTCTCTAGACAGAATAGTAAAATCACTAGTCATCCATCAAGCATGGTACTTGAAATCTGGTCTCTTAATTTTTTTAATTCAATTTTATTACATACTGGCCACAGTCCCCCGTCCCCCACGTCCCCCCCCTCCTGCTCCTTCCCCAGACTACCATCTCCCTCAGCTCCTCCTCCATCTTCATCCAGAAAGGGCAGGCTCATGGGCTAGAACAAAGCATGGTACATCAAGTTGAGGAAGGACCATGCTCCTCCCCTGTAATCAAGGTGGGGAACAAGTTTCCAAAAGCCAGCTGGGCTCCAGGGACAGGTCCTGATCTCACTGTAGGAACCTTACAAGCAGACCAAGAGTCACAACTGTCACTCACATGCAGAGGGCCTATCTCGGTCCCATGCAGGCTTCCTAACTGTTGATCCAGAGTCCATGTGCTCCCAAGAGCTCAGGTTAGCTGGCTCTGTGGGTTTGGTCTCTAATTTTATTGTCCTAAATAGAATATTGTATGATTGGCTCATATTGGGTTGCCTTACCCAACCTTAATACAAAGGGAAGAGCTTAGTCATACCTCAACTTGACACGCTTTGTAGACATCCATGACATGCTTTGTTGACACCCATGAGAGGCCTGCCCCTTTCTGAACAGGAGGTGGGGGGAGAGAAGGAGAGGAGGCAGGGAAAACTGTGGTTGTGATGTTAAGATCAATGAAAAAAATGGAATTAATAAAAAAAGGAATATTGCGTGATTGAACATGCTGCCTAAGGACCCTGTAGCGCTGCAATTGCGGGGGTGAAGCCATGACCGTGGACGTGGATTCCAACCCCAGTGTAAAGCTGAGTGAGGGTAGCAAAGGCTATGCTATGGGTCACCAGGTTTCTACTGTGTGTAAAAGGCATCAGGCCACCTGGTGGGTGCAGGAATAGAAGTAGGAGTCAAGACAGATGCCCAGGCCCTTGTTTCCTCCCAACTTTCATTGTGTTGTTAATTTTTCTGAATAGAGAAACACGGTAAATGTGAGCATATTGCATGAATTTTTAGGATTGGCTTTTATTAAATTAATATTTCCTAATTAAATATTATCATATAATATTGCTGAAGCCATTTGCTAAGTTTTAAAGCCTGCTTTCAACAAAGATCAAGAGGAGCAAAACTTTTTAAAACTATGTTCCTTTTTATAGATGTTCAGTGACCCAGAGGAGCAGAAAATGGCTCTTAGTTTTACCTCACATTACAGTCAACCACCTCAGTGTCTTTCTGTTATCGTTTAAAATGGGATTGGGTTTACATAATAGTTTTCTCTGTGAAAATCATTAGAAACTGAATTCTAGTTGACTGTGAATAGAATGTTTTATTTTTTCCATAAGTGGCTTACTGGTATTATGCAATGTCTCGAATTTTAATTGCAGTTTAAGAATGAGGGCACTGATCATAAATGTTAAAGTCGGTGACATGGGGAATAGAATGGGTGGGTAGGCGCACGTATGTGTGTCAAATAAGTAGTATTTTTGGATCCTACTAGCATACATTTAGTTTTTGTAAACAGTAATGTTTTCTTAAACTATGAAATTATGTTTAAGTTGTTGCATACATGAGTGTTTTACTATCACATGTGGGGGGAAAAAACATGTTTCATGGTCCTCCTTCCTTAGATGCTAGTAGTAATGATCAAACAAGGATTCAGGCGCAGAAATGTTCTAGAAATACTAACAAACACTCTAGTCTAGTGTGGTAATATTTTATTTTCAAAAGTTATTGTCCTATGTGCTTCCTAATATCTGTTGTTTCTCATTGATGGTGCTATAAAATGTATCTTGTCAGTTCTTTTCTCTAAGTATACAATTTATGAATTTGCTTTTAATCAACTTTTAGAATATCTTTTGAATTTGACAAAGGCTTGGCTTCAGTTCTATTTAAATTTCATTGAATGTCTCCTGTTAAAAATATCTGCACTGATCTACTTAAATTTCATGAATATTACTATTCTCACCCTTTGCGGCGTCTCTTTTTCAGTTCTTCCTACCCACATGTCAATAAAATTTAGATATGATAAAATTGAGAGAACATAACAGATTGGGCTGTTAGAAATCTTAAAGTTAGCACAATGGATTATTACGTAAGCACGGTAAACTATAAAACGCTTAAAGGCCAACTCCATTCACTTGCATACTTTTCTAAAAAATTGGAAACAAAACGAGGCAAGCATTCTGAACAAAGTAAATCTGTAGGCTTAGGCATGGAGACTAATTAGCATATGCTGTGATAGAAAGATGTTGCTGAGGGAATTATAGGCAGGCAGTTTCCACTGACAGTCACTGAGTGACAGGTTCTTTACGTTCTCTGAACTGGCTGCCTAACCTTTATTAGCTATGCACCAGGAGGATGATGAAACTGCCCTGGGAGCATCATGTGAATGTTTCCTGAATGGATCTTAATTCTTGCTCTTGCTTCAATCATGGCCCTTTCAAAGTGAATTTATTGCATCTGTGTTTTTTGGAAGCTGTTTTGTTTGAAGTGATTTAATATCCTTAAGGTATTAGGAAGGGAGACCCTTGGCCTTTAGACATAAATATTCTCAGGTGAGGGCACATGACCCCTTAGCCCATACCTGCCCTCCTCAATCCTCTTGTATTGCATACAGGATTCTCCGTGGCACTATCCTCCCTGTCTGTTCACCTAGTTTGTTTCTTCCCTTGTGCTTGTTTGCAGAGCTTGAAATAAGCAATTCTACCATGATTTTCCTTCTTACCCCTGCTAACAGGTGACCTAGTGAAATGTCACTGCCGGGGTGCGGCCTGTGTCCATCCTACACTACAGGGGCCATCTATCCTGGACTGATGTCTTTGGGGCTGTGTTAGGAACCAGATGAACAACCCGGGTTCGACCCTGAGTGAGGGAGTATGGATCAGGGAAGTCCTAGCTATCCAAGAAGGCATGAATAACGAGGAGACTCTTGTCATTTCAGGAGATGCTCACAGTCCATACTGGAGACACTGGTTTATTCAAGCACCTCTGACATAGCTTTCTAAACATGGGGGTGGCTCGGGAGATGGCATCTATTTTCATGTATATAGGGCTGACTAGGAAACACTTCCTTTAGCCCTAGAGATGGGCCTAGAATGCACATACGCAAACCCTCAGACCTCTCATAACACATGTCTCAGTCCTCAGGTGTGCCTTACTGGCCCCCAGGCAAGTCCCCATGATGGGTGTGGGGCCTAGGCCTATTGTTACACAAACTGGTCATTCTCCACTGAGGCCAGGCCATCTGTAGGTAACCAGCTGATACCTAAAAGACAAGAGCTGAGGCCTATACCGAAATATCATGTTCGGGGCCCTGACACTTCATGTCCATGCCTATTCATCTTGGCATCCGTAGCCATTAGAAGGTTCTTAGTGCAGTCCACATGAAGCAGGATATAAGCCTTCTAATAGAACTAGAGTGACAAGGTACAGGTCTTATATGATATTTCACATAAAAGAAACGAGATGATGTGAGTTTGGGAAATTTGGAATTATATATATATGTACATATATATATATATGTTATCTGTATCATACAGATAATTAGAAATAAAAAGATGCTGAGTGACTTCTACAGGGTAACAGAACGAGGGATTAATTGAAATAGAAATGAGATAAAGAGGCAGTCTGCACCCAGAATCCATGCTTTCTTCTAGTCACTGTGCCCCGTTCATCTCC